AGACGCGTTCCTTGCTGTAAATGGCTATAAATAAGAGGATTTTTCGTTTTTTCAAAGACTGAAAAAATTTTCCTCTCTGCATACATTTTCTTGCATAAATAAAATTGTCGATCGACTGAGTCTGTGTGTGCTCTTGTTACTATTCTTGCGTTCGCTGAAGTTATTGAAGTTTGAGATACCGCTACTTCTTTAACAGGTTAATCCGTTTTATCTTGGGAGGAATTAATCTACAACCTCGGGTACAGTGAGGGGATTAAATTTCTTAAGGAAACACAGTGGTTTCTGTGGACTCGGATTAAAATTCATTCTGTCTATTTCATCTTTTTTTGTTTCTGTATTTTTGACTAACCTAAATACAGGAGATAACACTTTCCACTTGGAAATAGTATTAGTGAACTCAGTAGTTTGACGCATCTCAATCTTTCGGATTCTGGAATATTTAATGAAAGGGAGATGCAGATCCCATCAGGATTATGCAAGAGTTGTCTAAGCTGATTTCACTTGACCTCTCCTGGAATTACATCCAATTTGGCCGAACAACCTTCACAAGTTTGCCGCACAACTTAACCAACTTAGAGATTTTGTTGTTAGACTTCGTGAACATACCATTCAAGTTACCTAAGAATTTCTCTTCTTCCCTAAGGTACTTAAGTCTTCAAGGCACAAATATGTTTGGGAACATGAGTGATTCTCAAATTTTTCATCTACCAAACTTGCAAGTGCTGAGATTGGGATCAAATCCTTTATTAACAGGCACTTTGCCGAATTTTAATTGGAGTTTCGGTGGAAGTATTTTAGAGTTGGACTTCTCCCGTACTGGTATTTTTGGGAAGATACCTGATTCAGTTGGTAATCTCCATTCTCATTGGCATTTGGACCTCTTGAATTGCCATTTATCTGGCTCGATTCCAGAATCCATTGGCAACCTCACTGCAATCAGAGAGTTGATACTTTCAAGTAACAACTTCACTGGTAATGTTCCCTCAACTATCTCAAAATTAAACAAACTCGTTAATTTAGATCTCTCTTTCAACCATTTTCGAGGCTCGATTTCGGAATCCATTGGCAACCTCACTGCAATTAGAGAGTTGACGCTTTCAATTAACAGCTTCACTGGAAATGTTCCCTCAACTATCGGAAAGATGAACAATCTTAACAACTTATTTCTCTTTTCCAATAATTTTGAAGGCTCGATTCCAGACATCTTCGCCAACTTTTCAGAGCTATACTTTTTAGCTTTTGACACTAACAATTTCACTGGCTCATTCCCCTATTCGGTTGCAACCTTGACTTACCTTCGAATCTTAGAGTTGCAAAACAATTTACTAACTGGTCCACTTCCCTCTAATATAAGCGGACTTCAAGAGCTACAACTACTTGATTTGTCATTTAATTATTTCACTGGTGCAACACCCCCTTGGTTATCTGTTCAACACAATCAATTAACTGGGAAATTACCAAATGAGCTCAAGAGCAATTACAAAGAATTCTTAGGTAACTCAAATGATGCCTCCACCACCTCAAATAAATTATTGCCAAAACAAGTATGGCGTTCAATGAATTTGGTGTCACTTAATTTGGAGAACAATTTTTTTCAAGGGCCTTTGCATCATTCTATTTGTGACTTTATTAACCTAAAAGTTCTCATTTTGGCTCGGAACAATTTCAGTGGTTCAATCCCAGACTGTTTGGGTAACTCCAATAGGTTTATTTCTATTTTAGACTTGCGAATGAACAATTTTCATGGAGAGATACCAAGATTCTTACCTACAAGGTTACAATATCTTGGTGTGTATGGCAATCAATTGGGTGGGAGGGGGGGATCCCACGATCCTTGGTTAACTGTACAAACTTGGTAGCTCTTGATTTGGGGAACAACACAAGATAAATGACATGTTCCCCATTTTGGATTGTTGATGGAGGCCTCATGTTCCTACTGGAAAAACCAAAATGGTTTTCGAACTTTGCTGAAGATATTGCTCAACAAATTGCTGCTAAGAAGCGAACAAGGCAAAAGAAGAGACGTCAAACACGTGGTTTAAGAATGAACTAGCAATATACAAGGTTGCATCAAAACTTTTTGTAGCTGTTTATTGGATAACTATATGTCAATTGTTTATTTTTTCCTAAATATTCAAAATCTCAATTTGTGTGTGCAGAGGTTGCTAGAGAGTTGGACAAGTTTATTAGCAATGGATGCATCTGTTAAAGTTGATTTCTATAGTTTTGTGGAAAATAATAAATAAGCTTTAGACGTAGCAACCTCTGCATTCTGTTTGTATTATAATGTATTGTGTTGTATTGCTTGTTCCACAACTAATATCTATCTCACTCTATTTGGGGCCATTTTTTTACTCTACAAAGGAAGCTAAACCCTACCAACAAATTCAAATTGAGCCACACAAAAATGAAGCCAAAAGTCCCAGATAAGAATATATCTTTGTACATATAAAAGAGAAAAAGTTACAACAAAGATGTAATCAACAACTAGCGCAGGAAAATGAGAAATTTCAAAAATATATACTCTAGAAAAATTCCTTCAAAATAATCACAGTAACTAAAAATACTATATTTCTCACAGCTATAGAGAAGCCAACAAATAGTTGACTTCTTTGCTAAACAGGCCTCTTCAAGTGGAAGTGGTACCTTCTATTATTTTTTTCATCAATTTCCTAAAGAGGGGAATAGACTATTTCTACTAGATAAGGGACAACTTCCTAGCATAAGGAGAAGATACAACAAATGTAATTTTTTTTGTTAGTTGAACCATTGTTTTTTGCTTATAGTATGAAAGTCTATGTCACTTTAGCCTTTCTGTAGATATTGCTGCTCAGAAGCAAAGAAGGCAAAACAAGAGACGTCAAAGAAAAATAAGCTTTAGACATAGCTACCTCTGCACTCTGTTTTTGGATGGATGGATGGATGTCTAAACAAAAATAGGCTTTAGACATAAAAACACCATTTTTCATGAAAAGGCCCTCAAAGTTTGAATTCAAAAATGAGGATTTGATGTTGAATTCATGAAGAACTAAATGGGTAATGGAGGATTGGGGTTGAAATCACTTACCCAAACGTTATTTCTTAAAATCGCCTACTCCAAGCTTCCAAGGTCCAAAAATGGAAAAATGGGGAAGAAACCCAAATTGGGAAATTTCATTAAACTGCCAAGCCATTTGGTCTTCGCAATCGCGGAGACCAGACGGAATAACCCTTCACGAACGCAGCCACTCTGACCCTCCACGATCGCGGCCAAGCTCCACCAACGCGAAGGAGGCACCAGAAGACAGCAAACAGCAAATACCAAGGCATAAAAACATTCACCCAATGGACCCTTGGAATCCCGAGCACACAAACTACTACCCAACTAAACTCGACGTTTCGGACTCAATGGAATCATCGAAATATGGATTCGAGGTCTCCGTGACCCGGCACCCATTAAAGGAATTAATATCTCAGGTGATCACTCAACTAATTCTTTTCTCTGAAAGTCACTCAATTTTGATTTTTAACTCAAAAGTCACTTAACTATGAATTATTTTCTCATAAAGTCACTCAACTATAGATTTTTTTCTCAAAAAGTCATTCGACTTTGAATTTTAACTCAAAAGTCACTCAATTATGAGTATTTTACTTACAAAGTCACTCAACCTATTCAAATAATTTTTTTAATTAAAATTTACTTTAATGAAATTTTTATTCCTAAGCAAAAATAAAAAATCAATAAAAAAGTATCCATTTGTACTGCCAATTATATTATGCTTAAAAATATCCAATATCACCGTCAATATACTATACTTAATTATTTTTTTAAAAACTGGAATAATGTTCCTATAAATACGTGTTAAAAGTAGTGTAGAAAATAATAATAAAACTCATGGAATTTAAAGGTTCTTAAAATAATTAATGCTAACTATTATATTTGGGGGGAAAGGTAAAATAAAAGGATCACTATTATATTTTTAGTGGATCGAGTCAAGTAGGTGGGTCATCTTTTTACAATTTTAGTTAGAAATAAAAATTTCATGTAAGTAAATTTTAATTAAAAAAATTAATTAAATAGGTTGAGTGACTTTCTAAAAAAAGAACGCATAGGTGAATGACTTTCTGAGAAAAGAAATCATAGTTGAGTGACTTTTGAGTTAAAAACCAAAGTTGAGTGACTTTCTAAGAAAAGAATCAATAGTTGAGTGACTTTTGAGTTAACAACCAAAGTTAATTGACTTTCTGAGAAAACAATCAATAGTTGAGTGACCATCTGAGATATTACCTACTCGTTAAAGCCACAATTTACCAACTTTCACCCAAAATATTAAAATAATATTAGTGGCAGTAAAGTTTTGAAAAAAATATTAAAATTGTAGTAGTGGTAGTAAAGTTTTTGAAAAAAATATTAAAATTGTAGAGTGGTAGTAAAGTTTTTGAAATTGTATTAGTGGTAGTAAATTTTTTGAAAAAAATATTAAAATAATATTAGTGGAAGTAAAGTTTTTGAAAAAAAAATATTAAACTTGTAGTTGTGGTAGTAAAATTTTTGAAAAAAATATAAAAATTGTATTAGTGGTAGTAAAGTTGTTTGACTAAATAAAGGAGGAAATTGTGTTAATTGAGTTGGGTGAACAACAATAATGCATTATCGATCACACTGTATGTATAAAAACTAGTTCTAAGAATGTGCATGTGTAACACGTTTGACCTCTACTGCTATATAAAGATGGAGTACAAGTTCGTAGCTAGTTAGATATAGAGAATGGAGTACCAACAATTGCTAATAGCTTTCTGTTTGTATGCACATTTTATACTTTTTGTCCATCAATCTCAGCTTACATATGCTGGGAAACATCTTTGTGCCCGTGATGAAGCTTTTTATTTGCTTGAATTTAAGCAAGGCCTCATCGTTGGTCGAAATGATTATTACAATGGTTGTGACAGCAAAGCCCAAGCCAAGACTTTGTCCTGGAATGTTACAGGAGATTGTTGTGAATGGGATGGTGTTACTTGCAATGGATTTACGGGTCATGTCATAGGCCTCGATCTTTCTTGCAACTTTCTTAGTGGAACCATCTATGCTAATAATAGCCTCACAAAACTTGTTCATCTCCAAAGACTCAACCTTACCTTCAACTACTTGAATGACTTTCCACTTGGAAATAGTATTAGTGAACTCAGTAGTTTGACGCATCTTTTGGCAATCTCACTAGAATTAGAGTGTTGAAACTTTCATTTAACAACTTAAATGGTAATGTTCTCTCAACTATCTCAAAATTAAACAAACTCGATCATTTAGATCTCTCTTACAACGATTTTCAAGGCTCGATTCCAGAATCTTTTGGCAATCTCACTAGAATTAGAAGTTTGGATCTTTCAATGAACATCTTCACCGGAAATGTTCCCTCAACTATCGGAAAGCTCAACAAACTTCACTCCTTATCTCTTTCTTCCAATAATTTTGAAGGCTTGATTCCAAACATATTTTCCAACTTCTCAGAGCTATCTTTTTTAGCTTTTGACACTAACAATTTCACTGGTCCACTCCCCTATTCAATTGCAACGTTGACTCGTCTTGAAATATTATACTTGCAAAACAATTTACTAACTGGTCCACTTCCCTCTAATATAAGTGGACTTCAAGAGCTACAACAACTTGATTTGTCCTTCAATTACTTCACTGGCGCAACACCCCCTTGGTTATTCCACCTTCCATCCTTACTTTCTTTATATGTTCAAGACAATCAATTAACCGGGAAATTGCCAAATAAGCTCAAGAGTAATTATCTAGAATACTTTAACATTCGTCTTTCATACAACAAGCTGCAAGGTGAAATTCCCGATTGGATGTTTTCTACAAGCATAGTTAGACTGGATCTCTCTCATAACTTCCTCACAGGCTTTAAAAAACAAGTATGGCACTCAGACTCCTTACAATACCTTAATTTGGAGAACAATTTTCTTCAAGGGACTTTGCATCAATCCTTTTGTGACATGCATAACCTTGACTTCCTCATTTTGGCTCAGAACAATTTCAGTGGTTCAATCCCAGACTGTTTGGGTAACTCCAATAGCTTCATTTCTATTTTAGACTTGCGAATGAACAGTTTTCATGGAGAGATACCAAGAATCTTACCTACAACGTTACAGTATCTTGGTTTATATGGCAATCAATTGAGGGGACAAGTCCCGCGATCCTTGGTTAACTGTACAAGCTTGGAAGCTCTTGATTTGGGGAACAACAAGATAAATGACACGTTCCCCATATGGCTGGAGAAACTTCCAAACCTCCAAGTTTTGATTCTAAAATCAAATCTCTTTCACGGTTCAATTGGTGATTTGGAGTCCGAATTTCCATTTCCTGAGTTACGAATCTTTGACCTTTCCTTCAATGGGTTCACAGGAACTTTGTCATCTAATTTTTTCAAAAGTTTCAGAGGTATGATGGATGTGGATGAAGAAAAAACAGGAATTACTCGAGAAAGAACAAGCAATGACACAGATTACCTTTACCACATTAGTTTGGTGATAAAAGGTAATGAGTTTGATATGAGAATCACGTCAATTATGACGAGTGTTGATTTATCAAGCAACAGGTTTGAAGGAGATATTCCAAAATCCATTGGAAATCTGAGCTCACTTGTGTTACTCAACCTGTCTCACAACAACTTCCGTGGTCATATTCCTGCAGAAATTGCAAAGGTGCAGGCACTCGAAGCATTAGATCTCTCATGGAACAGACTCATTGGAGAAATTCCAGGTCCATTGTCGAGTTCGACATTTCTTGAGGTCTTAAACCTTTCCTACAATCATCTGGCCGGGCACATTCCTATTGGGAAACAGTTCAATACATTTCCAAATGACTCGTATTGTGGAAATCCTGATTTATGTGGATTTCCACTGTCAAAAGAATGTGGAAACAATAATGAATCACCACTTGAACACGATGATGATGATGATTCATTTTTTATGAGCGGATTCACATGGGAAGCAGTGGTAATAGGTTATGGTTGTGGTATGATATTTGGATTGTTGATAGGAGGCCTCATGTTCCTACTGGAAAAACCAAAATGGTATGTGAACTTTGCTGAAGATATACAAATTGATGCTAACAAGCAAACAAGGCAAAAGAAGAGACGTCAAAGACGCTGTTTAAGAATGAATTAGCAATATACCAGGTATGTATCAAAACCTTTTGTTTTGAATCAGGAACAGCACTATAGAGGTTGTTGGATAACTATTTTTCCTAAATATTCAAAAACTCAATGTCTCTGCAGAGGTTACTGGAGAATTGGACAATTTAATTAGCAAGTTAGTGTTGATGTTCGTGCAAATATCAAAGGATGCATTTGTTTCTTCACTTTATGCCCATGGTTGCCAAATACATAATAAGTTACAGTTGATTTCTATAGTTTTGTGGCAAATAATAAATTAGCTTTAGACATAGCAACCTCTACCCTCTGTTTGGATGGATGTCTCATAATGTATCGTATTATATTGTATTGTATTGTTAGTTTAGTAATATGAATCCTCTGTTAACTATATCTATCTCGCTCTATTTAGGACCATTTTATTCTTGAAAGTTAGCTCAACCCTACTTACAAATTCAAATTGAGCCACACAAAAAGGAAATGTCGGAACAAATATCAAGGATCATGTCCTAAGTGAGCCGGAAACTCGAAAAAATCCAAGATTCTTTAGCAAAAATAAGCCTAAAGAATATATCTTTTAGTACATAAAATTTACAGCAAAGATGTAATCAAGATAGTCCCAATTAATGCAGAAATTTCAAACTGCAATTCCAAAAAAAAAATACTCGAGAAAAATCCCAAAACTTTAAAGTATTGGTAGAAGTTTACCTGGTTAAGAATTTTGAAGAACGCTAACGCAGTCTCCATTTTGTAATCTCAAAGCTCAATTATTTTGCGTTCGTTTCTCTAACTATAGTACTAAGAAAATTGTTTGTTTGTTTTTTTTTTGAATATTTCTATATGCATAAGGTGTTAGTATGATATAATTGAGGCGTTTTAAAAAAAATATATAAGTCATAATTCTCATATATAAGTTGAGTTCGACCAAATGATGATTACCAATATACCATATCGTAAAAATAATATACTATTTTTCAAAATTAAAATTATCAAATCAATACATTTTATGTACGTAAGAATCTCATTTGATTGTTATTGGTAAGTCCCCATATTATGCGAGACCCCGACGGCCCAATTAAATCTGAATCTCGTAAACCCAACCACCACATACAAGAAATTCATGGTCTATGATTAAATTTGTGAAAATTGATCCACCCTTTGTTATTCTCTTTTAATCCTTTTTTTTTAAAAAATAACTCTTTCTTTTAAACAAGCTAATCTTAGCATTTCTTAGTTTCCATGACATGTTTATGAATATAAAATTAAAAAACATTTAATATATTTTTAATTTAAAATCATAAAATTCAAAAAGCATTTTTTTACTTTCTAAAAATTTTGTGCCACACGAAGAGGACAATAACAATTTGTGCTTATCATGTTTAGCACCTAAACTTCAATCATTTTGATCTTTGAAAACGAAATGAGATCTTAAAAATGCGGCTTCATATTACTCCCTACGTTTTTTGGATTTTTAGCTTTTCTGAATTATTGAGTTTTATATTAATAATTTGTGCACATTTAATAATATTTTAAAAATAAATACAAGATTTGAATCAAAGCTACTGAATTTAGTAAGATTATCAAGGTTTGATGACCAAGTTGATGCACCGTGGACTGAGACCCAAGCTTGCACATGGGAAGATTTACTAGATCCAAAACCTCATCCGGCCAGACCCCTTTCCAATTTCCCCAACCAACTTCCCCTCAAGCCGCACCAGGCCGTTTGAAACCGTGTTTTAATTGAACCGAGCCAACTCGACTCATTTGACATGTTTATGACTAAAAAGGTTAAATTGTTGTTTTAAGTGGATCTTAACGAGACATATTATTTAAATAAAAATTAAAATCTAAAGATTAATATTTCTACAAATAAAAAAAGTGGCTCTCTTTCAAGAGAGAGCACTGTAACATACAATGTATACAAGTATTATTTAGGGATAAGAGTCTGAAAAATACCTCAACTTTGGTCGGCTTTATTGTTGTGATACTAAACTTTCATGAGGACCTATTACCTCACTAAACTATTTAATACCGTATTTTAAACAAATATATTTGCCCACGTGGACATAAAAAATAATGCAAAATTATAAATAGTAATATGTCCACGTGGGCACATATATACCTTTAAAATACACTATTAAATAGTTCAGGGGGTAAAAAATACGGTATTAAATAGTCTAGGGAGGTAATAGGTCCTTATGAAAGTTTAGTATCGCAACAGCAAATCCGACCAAAGTTGGGGTTTTTTTCAGACCATTATCCCTATTATTTGTACTTACTAATAGCTAAACGAATATATAATTTCCGCCAATTCCATGCTCTTATCTTTCTTATCTAATCTTTAGCCTTGTCATTTTCTATTTTATTTTATTACTATATATAAATAATAAAGACAAAAGATAGTCACATCAAAAGAAAGAAATATATACCTCTATCAATTGTTTTCTTTTTCAACCAAAAAAAAAAGCAAACAATGCATTATTTTTTCTAGTATAGAAGTAATAAACACGGTAGTATTAGCCTTATTCACGTAGTTTTTACTTCTTCTGTTTATGTATGTTACCATATGATGTTATCATTACTATTTATTCTCTATATGTTTTGTATTGTTTTTCGTATTAGGTGTCATATTTTCTTTATTATTTCCTTGTTCAATTTTAATTTGATATATTTGAGTTGAGGATTATTCGAAAACAATCTATCTATCTCCATTATATATACACACACTCTACTCTTCTCAAATTCAATTTGTAAAATTATACTAAATATATTATTGTTATTGCGATATAGAAGTGATAAAACATGAATGTTGAAACACATATCCCCTTAGAGGCCATTAGGAGACAATAAAATGAGAAAGGGGTGATAAGGACAATGATAATATGTGTGTCATGGCCCATGTAGAAAAGTGAGCTGATCTTGAAAAGGAAATGTAGAGTTGATGAATGATTAACAATTTTAATCAAAGCCTATCCTATTTGCTCAATCATACAATATGTGGAAACTTCATCTTTGGATATTTCTACGTGTTATTATATATCTACATTTGTGTGTGTGAGGATTTTAATTTTTATATTTATTCATTTTTTGGGTTCAAAAATTTATTCTCCAGTAAAGTAGAAAAAAAAAGAAGATATAGGGACCTATAATATGTCGTTTGTCTCTATTCATGTGATGATTTTAATTTAAAATGATGTTTTTGAGAAAATAATTTTTTTTAAAATTTGTGCTTTAAAATAAGTCAGATATTTATGTGGTTATATTTCATCTTACAGATAAAATGAACATTTTAAAGTTGAATTGTTACTAAATAAAAATATGTCTTTTTTTTTAGACTCACTAAAAAGAAAAGAGTCTCATAGATTAAGCTTTAAGACTCGGAAGGAGTACCAATTAGGTTATTTTAGTGAATCAATTCAACCAATTTCTTATTACTAAGGAGTAAGGATTATGATGGGACTGATAGAATCCATCATTCATTCACCTTTAATAAGAAATTTCGAATTAAAAAAACAAAGGTATATATAGAAAGCATTTCCCCTTTAATGTGTCTTACATAATATATGAATATGAATTAATCGAGTTCTAATGCAAGTAACATACCGCGGAGTGTGGACGGCAAGTAGGGAGTTTGTCAAAACATAACTTCAACAGTGGCAAACGTTCAATTTGGTCTATTCTTAAAACGGATTTGCGTCAAGATAAACAATACTTAATAACTTTAACAACAATAGTATAGAAAACGATATAAAAATAGTTCCTTTCAATTAGAGTTATGTACATCCATTATGATGAGTATGCATTTACTAAATCAGGTTGTGGAGCAATGATGAGACTGTTTTATTCTTAATCATAAGTTTCGGGTTCGAGCTCTGGTATGCAGAAAATCCTATTAGGAATGTCACCTCTAAATGAGTCATGCAATGTGCAATCTAAATTTAGTTGGGACTTCAAATACCGAATTGAAAAAAAAAATTATGCATCTACTAACACACTAGCTCTATCGACATAAAAGTCTTAATTTGCTTCAAAATTTTTATTAAATCAAATCATCTGAACTCAATAACTTTGGTTCAAATATTATATTTATTTTAAGAAATTATTGAATATATACAAATTATTATTTAGAACGCAATTACTTGAAAAAGATTAGAATTAAGAATATATTCATAAGAAGTGTTCCCTTGCATAAAAGATCTTCGGTAATGTGAATTATTCCAAAAATTTCGAACACCGAATGAAAAAAATCAGTTGCATATAATGATTAAGGGACCAATATAATTGACATATATATGTGTGATTAATTAGAGTCAAATATAGGCAGCTAATCGACTAACATTCTTTTGATAAGTATGGATCATAAACTTTGGAATATGTCTTTTCAAGCTTTAAATAAAAGAATCTACCCTTTAATTAAACCCTCATTCATTGATAATGACGTACTTGTCCTATGTTCTTTGATAACTAAGTTTGAAGATTGTAAATTTTTTTATTTTTTCTGGTTTTGGTTTCTTTATTTTTTGTATGTTGAACCTTTTATTTTAATAAAATATATGCACTAAGATCTACTTAGTGGTATTTAATTTTTTTAAAAAGTTTGTATTATTTTTTTCCAATTACAAGTAATTTAAATTTTAATCTCTCCCTAATTAATCTTTGTTGAAAAATGGACAATGTGGACTCTAAAAATGACTTTTTAGGAATTATTTCTTTTTTCGTACGTAATTACTATGTCCCATTATCAAGCATATAAGAATATTACTTCAGGTCATTTGCGTTGATCTTTAATTTTAGTCTCTTAAAATAGATAATCTTTTTATGTGGTACACGTTTATATATTGCACAAGTTATACTTTGCAATCTTAATTAAAGAATTTATGCTTTACTAAACATAAATTTGACTACTTCCAAGTTTTGGCGGGTTGAGCTGGCAATGAATTTGTAAATATTAATCTAAAAGTTAGATTGATTATGTAGATCAAATTGACAATTAAATTTTTTTTGAAATATTTATCTAAACAAACTATTTCTTTAATATGTGTTAGGTATAGCCTTAACAATAAAAAAAATATTTAGTACTATTAATATTAAGAAAATATCTATAAATATTATGTAAACTTGATTAAAGTTAGATATTTCAATTTAATCAACTAAACATATTGATGACCCAAATATTTATTAATTCAATCTCTTAACAGGTCAAAATTCAGTCACTCTCACCTTTTCGATACACCTTTATAATCTCTAAGTATATATAATATCATTAAAATATGGAAGATGTCATATTATATAGTAGTATATATATTAATGGATTCCATATATACTAGTGGTAGGAGTGATCATAGCTTCCTAGGTATCATCTAGATTGG